TCTCCCGGGTGAACTTTATGTACTCGGACTGCTCGTTCAATAATTCAAAGCATTTGTCCATCTCCTGCGTAGAGAAGACGGCAAAACAATCATCTACATATCTGCAGTAGAGTAGTGGCCGGAGATCGAGAACAGGGGCTTTTATCTTAGACATAAACACAATGGCCAGGCTTGGTGCCAATCGCTGTCCCATTGCCAACCCCCTTATTTGCGCGAAATATTTCCCAGACCATCTGAAAATCGAGCAGTTTAGGCACTCCTTTAAGAGAGCCATTAGTTGCTGGATGGACAAGCCATGCATATTTATTCTTCCTTCATGTTCAACAAGAAGTTCGAAGATGGCTTGCATTGCGGAATAGCTTTAATATTTATAACTATGGGAACTCTGATTACAGTAATATGATGAAAAGCATTTCAAGAACCGAGTTTTCTTTACTTTCTGTTGACTAAGTGTTCCTTCATTGATAAACTAACAGGAAATTGATGAAAAAAAAAACAACTTTGTTCGGCCAATGTTCAGACGCCTTCACCTTTCTCAGAGCCTTCTATTGATCCCAGTTGATGTTCCTAAGGTGGTCGCCTTCGAGAAGTTGGTGTTCGTTGTCGCATCGGAGCGAATCCACATGTGGACCATCAACTGGAATCAATCCGGTTCTGAAGAGACCGAGGGCAGCGCGACTTTGACTAGGCAAAGTTTTTTTTTGTCGACTCTGTGTTACCTTATTAATAAAGCAATGCGATAAAAAGTATTGCAATAACAGATGCATTAAATTTTCAGAGGAGAACGATTCGGAGAAGAAAGGAAATCATGCTCTAAATCCTCTTATTCATGGCATTCCATTTTGGATAACTCCAGAGTAAGTTTTAATTCGTATTTTAGAATCGAAAATTACTGGATTTTTTAGTATATACTGGACTGGTTAGTCAGGCCCAGGGGTTCCACCCAGTGTGTCGGCTTTGCGCCAGCTATTTTGCACGCGATTACGGTCATTCACTAAATTTTGATACGGTTACTTCCTTACCGTAATTTCCGGATTTTCTTATTAAATTTGGCTTATTGTGTTTTATATCCACTTTCTAAAATTCAGAGAAGGCGAAGAACTAAATGAAGAAGATTTGCCAATCGATAGAGAGTTAATAGAAAAGGTTCGTCATAACAATCCTTCTAGCGACCCTTGAAAAAATTTCATTTTGTGATCTTCTATTATAACACATTTATTATAGTTATGTACGTCTAGTGAAATGAAACATGCGACATCTCGTTTAGTCGAGCTTATAGGTAAACAAACCCATCTATAACCCCTGAATCGATGACTTGGGGTCAGATGCTCTTGCAAAGGAAAAAAATTGGTTAGTCTGAGCTGAGCTTTTCTCTACAATTGGGTGTCGACTCAGGAAACAACTCAACATTTGTTGTATCGGCGAATCTCATTGTGAACCATCAAATGCGAAATATGCTATGAAATCGTTGGACTCCGGAAAGCTTTTCTGGGTTTGATATCTAGTTATACTCACTTAGATTCTTAGATGTCCATCTTCACGAGTGCTCTCGGCTCCAACAAATCTACCATTTGTACTTTTCTGGTGAATCGTTGTACACAGTGGTGGTCTACTACGAACATTGTGACATCCATGGGGTGTATTTTATGGCTACCTAATAGTTTTTGTGCTCCATCGTGGATGGTTGAAATGAGCCACAAGTTCTTCTAGCGAAGTGAAACACATCGGCCCTCGTGTAGGTGGCCGTCCGAAGGCGCGTTTGAGTCTCCTCGTACTCCACTCTACAGTTCTTTTCCTCCATATGTCCTAAGATCATTCCATTATATGACCAGCCCATATGTGATTCGATATGTATTTTTCTTTTCTATGTCTATCTATTATAACTCTAATTCAGGTACTGGACGGTAGATTCAATATCGTATCAAACTCTCTAGTGCGGAAAAATTTCGATCCTTATTCTGAAGTAGACTCATATAGAAGTCTGGACAAGTTTTTTACTAGGCTAGCAGGCACTTTTATTTCACCTTTATTGATATATCTCTACTACTGAAAACAGAAGTAAAGAAATTCAAATATTTCTGCTTAAAATTTGATTCAACATGATTCACTCGTCTCTTCGGCGGTACATCGTCAGAGAGAAGAAAATGAGCATCGGTGTTCATGAAAATCGAATTACTTCAAACGCCTTCGTGGCCATAGTCATCAAGCTCAATTTCATGAAGTGTTACAGTTAAAAAAAGGTCTCGGCGTTGATCAATCCCTTAGGGATGCATCATGCGTTCGACTTCATTAGGCATCGTTTGGAGGTGATTTAATGCATATCTGGCCTTTACGATGACTCGCGGTGTCCTACTGGTGCATCGAGCCAGTGCTGCTAATCTCCGAGACAAGTCTAGTACCAATTTGCCGACTCCTAAGCGATGGAAAGCTTGGTGAGCTATGGGCGCGGGGATCGATTCCACGTACGTGTCGCAGAGCGCCTCCAACCACTGCACCTCACACGTCCTTTCATGAAGTGTTACGGTGGCAAAATGGTTAATCAGCTTTTTCAGTTTTGAACCAAGCAGCATGATATTAGCAAAACCCTAAACCAAGCCCTAAGCAAAGGTTGATAACAACCTCAGCTTTAGCTTGCACTCAAGTAGATTCGGTGACTTAACCTCAGTGGTAACTGATTAAATGATGTGCAGTACATCTCCCATTATTTATAACAGCCTAACCATAAACATCTCCGGTGGGTTTTGGCGTTGTCTATTGTTTCATGTTCCATGGTTGCAAGTGTAGAAGGGGCGCATAGCACAGTAGTAGTAATACCGATCATGACGGGCAAGTGCTGGTTCGATACCGTTAATCGCTCACCAAGCCTCTCATCCCTTCAGGGCCGGGAAATCGGTACCGGAAGTGTCCGGGAAAAAATTACTCCCTGCAATCCATTTGGGAAAGCCTCAGCTCGGCTATCTCAGGGCTCCAGTTAGAACTGGTTCGACAAGCAATCCATGGTATTCAAGATGAAATCCTCAACCAGCAGCCGAAGTTACACGGAAACGGCTGGGGAGCCCTCGTGGATGATGGGTGCGAGGAGGCGAATCGAATGTAGAAAATTCTGAGATCCGCATAATTGATGTGAACGACCAGTCGTATAAAAATAAGAGTTAAAAAAGTCGAATAAAAAACATAAAAGGATAAAGCATTCGGCGCTGATTACTCTGTGAGAGATACGCCACCTATTCGACTTCATCAAGCATTATTAGAGTGAATAAATGCTTAGATGGCTTAGTACCGCTTTTTTCCCAGACAAGTCTTCGTTAATGTTTCGAGCCATCTCTGCTGCACTTCGATCGAGTTTGAACTCATAAAAGAAAATCTGACGAAAATTCGTTTTTGACATCGAAAATTGCAAGGCTCAAAATTGGCAAAAAAATTAACCTTCGACAAAATATGAAACCATGGCTGGGAAGAGAATAAAACCAGGTCTTTGATTGGGCAAAAAAGACATTAAGCAACAAATATTTTAAAACGCTCGTTTATTTCTAAACAAGCTAATGGCTGGCACGAAGCGGCTGTGGAGAAGCCAAGAGCCACCGACGCGTTAGCCACTGGGGAATAAACGCTGCATATTAATGATTTTGTGTCAGTTTCACTGATGGTCTCGGGCTTCGAAATTCTAAGTGGTAACTTCATTTTTTAGGGAACTTATCATTGGAGACACAGTAAAAACGGTTATCAATCTTATGGAGGAACCAAACGATAACATTTAAGTTTAATCTACATGTAGCGTTAAATTGCGCAGTTTTTTCCACCTCTATTATTGTACCAATAATATTTTGTTCTGATTTTTTATCTACTAATTAAATAGGCATTTCCCAGACAACTTCGATATTTTAGGCCAACGAGGATAGGTGAAGAGCAACGACTAGTGACATGGGGTCGTATGGTATTCGTGAGCTCAGTCGATCTGTCACAGTCGAATACGGAACCGACACTGATAGGACGACCGGAGCCAATGCGGGACATCGTTCGTGGGCCGGTCAAGAAGAACTGAGAATCTGACGACAGTTTTTAAAGAGAAATTTACAAGAACAATATTCACTATTAGTTAAGGTAGAATATTCTCAATAATGTAGCGATTTTTTTAGTATGATATGAATGCACAGAATAGCTCAGCGAGAATAAACCTTACATCCAGACAGCCGGAAGTCTCATACTGAAGTCTAAAATAGATGTCATGATTACAAGAATGTTATAAACCTTGTCTGAATCCGAATTGCATGGAGTCGGGTCGCTGAATATATGGAGCACATTCATTTAGCATTGTGCCAACAATTCTGGCTCCTTGGGAATATCTGATGCCTGATGTGGATCGGCCACGTTTTCGCTCATCTTGGTGAAAAAACCATCGAGTAGAAGTCTGGTAAAGGGAAATAAAGCCATAAATGCAATGGCAGACAGATCACGCTGAACACAACCGAGATAAAAACACAAAGTCATATGTATTTAGTAGTCCATTATTATCGATCGACCTCACGAACTGCTGTTATGGATGTCGGCTTTTTCGACCAATGTCAAAGGATCAATCGCAAATTAGGGTTTCCAGTCGATAAGCGACAAATTTATTCTATCGCAATCGTAACTACTGGTGATACCAGAGAGTAATGTTATTTGTAAGCGATGGAAACAGAAGGATTTTCAAATCACTAAGAAGGCATTTTGAGCAAAAAACAGTTAATATGGTTCTAACCAGAGAGATAGAACCATGTATTGGCGGGAATACGGCTCTAAAAATCTCTACGAAAAAACCGTAGCTGGATGGAGATCTAATTTAAAAAGAATGATTGGAACTCTTGCAAAAGTCGCTTGTTCAGTAAATCACTCAACTTCGTCTAGATATTCTAACACGATTTTTGTCGACGGTTCCTACTTTTCAAGTTTGATAAGAGTATTTTAAAGCTAACAATATTTCACAGTTCATAGAAGAAGAAAGTATAGCCGTATATAGCTGCGGCTGAGGCTATGAGGATGGAAGAGGTTCATATAGCGGAGCTTCAGAATATTATTCGAAAAAACCATTCATTACTCGTATATAATGCTGAGATATTTGCAAAACTCGGGACCGCAGGTGTATGCGGTGGGGAACGAACGCGCGCTACTGTCCTTACCGGGGAGTGGCGCACTTCACCATCACACCGTCAGGGTATTTCGCAACATACCTTGCCATTAAAAAGGAAAAGGCAGTAAATGAAAGGGTTAAGACTGTGATTATAACTAAGCCTCAGCTTAACTGGGTTCAATGCCGATTTGGACTCCCTAGATCGATCCCGTTGACGGGTGATTGCTGATGGCAAAAGATCGATAGAACTAGCTGAGAGACAGGCAAAACGAAGGACCCGAATGGTGTGGTGGTGAAGTACGCTACTCCCCGGTGAGGACAATAGCGCGCGTTCGTTCCCCACCGCATACACCTGCGGGCCCGAGTTTTGCAAATATCTCAGCATTTTATACGAGTTATATTTCGCAACATACCCTGTCATTGAAAAGAAAAAGGCAGTAAATAAAAGGGTTAAAATCATTCATTAGTTTACTATTTTAGTGCCTGTGTTAAGATGGTGTGTTCCCATCAGGTGACCCAGCTAAGAGCAAACCAATACCAGAATCCACCATCGTCCTGGTGTCAAACTAATCGCATGGTGGCAAACCTCCCTCTGATCCACGAAGACCAGCGGCGGCCTACCATACTGTAGACCTAGGGAGGACCTTGGCCAGGCTGACCTCGGGACTCCAGGGAACCACAATGGCGAGACCAACAAAGCTCCGAAAATACGGAAGTTATGCTGAGGCCGCCACAACTAGTGAAGATGGGCCATCCAAGTATCCAAGTATGTGGTTTCTAAAACTAGACGTGTCTATAATTATGTTGAGGTAAATGAATATAGTAATAGAAACTTATTGAACAATGTACAACACTTCAAGGTCCCATTGTGATATCCTATTTTTAAGCCTTATCATTATTTTCGATCCGGCAACCCATGCTCACCAACACTTCCATCCCTCCAGAGTCTGCAGATTGATATCAGACCTGTCCGTAAGGTTAGCACCACTGAGTTGATACATCGGCAGGTCACTGCGAAGCGTTATGAAGGTTAGATATGCATTCATTCATTTCCAATGATGCTTGATGATGTCAAGTGCATGGCAGTTCTCTCAGGGATTGGCCAGCGAAGGGCCTTTATCCTTTTTTTTATAGTTGGTGTCACAGCCAAATGTACAACTGAGAATTTCATTAAGCCACTGAATCGACTGTAAATATCGATCGCCGACATTGATTTTCTTGCACTGTGAATCACAAGTGGTTCGTAGAAGTGGAGCTCGTCGTTCCTGCTTCCTTTGTATCGTAGCCATTGGTGCTCAGAAATTGTTTTGGCACACCAGGTCGTATCGATTTATCGTCAGATTGTATTGGGGTTCACTATCGCGCCACTTTTACTATCACACGTTCAAGGTCAGCAGCTGTACAATGAATATTTCATTTATTAAATTGCCTTTCTGATGTGCTAAATTCGGTCATTGCGTCTTTCTTTTCTTCTATTCCTTCCCGTACTTCAAACAGGTTTTCTTGAAATTAAGCATTGAATAAATCCAAGCAGTACCAAAATCTCTGATATTGAGGTAATTTGACTGTGTTGAAAAGGATAAAGCTCTCGGCGTTGATCAGTGGGAGGCGCCATGCATTCGACTTCATTAAGCATCGTTTGGAAGTGATTGAATTCATATTTGGCTTTTACAATGACTCGAGGTGGCCTATCGGTCTATCGAGCCAGTGCTATCCTCCCAGACAAGCCTGGTATCAATTTGTCGACCCCGGAGGGATGGAAGGCTTTGTAATTGTAGAACTTGTGGTTTACAGGACTCCGAAAATGAAATATTTTCACTACTTCTTACTTTCTTTTACAATTTTGCCTTGAAATCTTTTTCTTTATCTTTATTGTAACATGAATCCGTTTACGAGCGGTTGTTTCTAAAATGGTTTTCTGCAATTTCGAAGTAGGGAATTGTGCTTTCTACAGCTCTGTCCACCATTTCTCGCGCAAGTGGACAAATATGGACATTGTGGTGTTCATTTTCAGTTCAGTGGGTTCCAAAACTTTTTTGTTTACCACTCTGTGTGTACTTATTCAATAATTTTTCTATTTTTTTTTATATAACCCGTTTTCACGTCTACTGTGTGGATCCTATCACTTCTCATATTCGATTCGTTTCCTCGCATCCATTGTCCATGAAGATCTTCCAACTTTTGCGTGTGGCTTCGGTTGCTGCTTGAGAATTTCCATTTTATCTTGAATGTCGTAGAATGCTGGTCGAGCAATTCTCCCTGGAGTCCTGGGATAGCCGGGCTGGAGCGTTTTCAATTCGATTGCAGCGTGTAATTTTTTCCCAGACAAGGCTGGTGGCAATTTCCCGACCCCGGAGAGATGAGAGGCTTGGTGGGGCCGTGCGTAATCGAACTAGCACCGTGCTCGTGCTGACGGACATCACTGCCACCGTGCCATCCACTCCTTGTTCAATAATTGACCGGAATCAAGTGAAAATAGGAGGAGTGGGACCAAAGAAGGCGTTCTCTCTTCTTAGTAATTTACAAAAACACGTTCTTAGGCGTGTTTATTAATCAAAATCTCTCACAAAGTCCCGTCATATCGATCACTCGTCATTTGATTTCCATCTGTATGATTAATCATAGTTAATATATGAGATTTGCAAGCACAAAAATATCGAAATACTTGGATAATTACTGGTATACCTGCATGGCTTGTCTTCATTGGCTGTTCAGACCCCAACACAGTTTCCATCAGTATCTCTTGGGCTACCGTCTTCCATGATGGTGGTCTGCTTGGAACATGGTGACGTTCGTGATGTCCATTCCATTGTTTTGAAATCGTTCCCGTCTACGAATATGCCATTGACGTTAGCCACGAACATTTTCGCCCATAGTTTGGGTGGCCGTTCATGATGACTCTTGCATTCTGTAGTAGTCCACTCCACTATTCCTTTCGTCCATATATCACCTGTTCTCTTTATTATGTGATAAGCCTATCTGTCATTCGTTATCGATTTGTATTCCCCAGGATCACGAAGATCATCTCTCCCTCAGTTTTATCGGTTTAATGAAAGCTTTCGGCTCAGTTGAAACTGAGGCAGTCAAGGAAGTTTTGGACACCTAACGCATCTCTACTCAGTACACAGATATTCTTTGTGAACTGTATAAAAGTTCCACAATAAAAGATCACCATTAAATCATCATCCCACAACGATAGCAAACATCGACGTCAAAAGAGGAGTTATGCAAAGCGACACTATCTGGTCAAAATTATTTACCGCCGCTCTCAAGAACGTCATCCAAACATTGGAATGGATAACATGGGAGTGAAAGTCGATGGTCGCCAATTACATCACCTTCGCTTTGCTGATGACATCATACTTATAACATTAAACATTAGCCAAGCGGAACAAATGCTTGCCGACTTTGATAAAGCCTGTGGAAAGATTGGTTTTCGACTAATATTACAAAAGCGATGTTCACGAGGAACGGACTGGTTACGTATACCCCATCCACGCTCGATGAAATGAATATCTCTCGTCACGTTTATCTAGGTCGAAAAATCAACATGGTGAAGGATTTAGCTCCAGGATTGAGCGGAAAGAAGCGAGCGACCTAGGGAGCTTGCGTGAGCATTGAGGATGTAGTGAATGGAATAAATGGCATCCCATTCGGAGTTCCGACCTTCGTCAACCATCGAAAGTAGGAGATGCTATTCTAAACCCCGAAATGTCGAAAGTCAAGTGAGCAGAACACGTAATGCCTTTGAGGGACAACCAATGGACAAGAACCGTTAACGAATGGGTTTCTTGGGGTGACAAACGTAGTGCAGGGAGGCTACCGAATCGGTGGTCAGAGTTCTTCACGAGAACCCTAGGATACAGATATGGTGCTGAACCAGTCTTTGGAGAGCACAGAACCCATTGCGCTACCTTTGCACGCGACGGAGAAAATGGAAGGACAAGGCCTAATTGCTCCCGATCGAGGCCACCCGACGATTAACGGGATGGTGGATAGGCTTCGAAGATGTGAGCTGCGCATTCCGGCTAGACTAGATGAGTGCCGGTTGAATTTCGGAAGACGTTGTTTGAAGGCTCTGTGGGTAGTACGTGGAATTATTGAAGCTTGAATTATCAAACTACGTCTATGCACCATAACAAAGTGCCGGGAGGACTGTTGACTTGAAGAAGTGACCACAGAGTTTTGGGTCTGTTAGTTAGTCTGTGGCTTCTTGGAAGACTCAAATACGGCCCATAATGCTCTCCTTTTTCCGTCTAATTTCTCCCTGTTGTTGCTCTCCATGTTCGTTAAACACCAAAGGTACACGTACGAGGTGATCTCTCTTATCAGACAACCAACCAGGTCGATTTGTTCACTTTCGCGCCATGAGTTCCTGTTAACTGCGCCTTCGTACTTTTTATGCACAGTCCTTTCTTCTTCCATTTCTTTATACTCATTAAACATTGTGTTTTCTTTACTGATACTCCTCGAAAAGATGGGAATGACTTCCGCGAAACAGAGATTTTACCAGAATCGCCCATCAATGCTTATATCCTCTTCGCAATCGAATGACTTCATTGCCCACTAAAATACGGCACTGAATAAATTTGGCGATGTTGTGCGGCCTTTTCGAATCCGTTTTTATAGGAATAGTAAAGTGTCGTTGGAAAAGTGGTTTTTTTGTGTACTTCCAATAGCAGTCGGCTAGTGCTCATATATAGGACGGATCCGCACTTTGGTCGGAGTGCTTATAGGATAGCATTATACGAATTGGTTTACAAAGTTTTAACAAGATACAGAGGATGCTTCCAACAAGGTTCTATGACTCGTGCGACGGTCTGGATGTCTTCCATGCAACAGTATCCGTATTGGGATCCTGTTTGCTCCATTGATTGTGCCTCATTCCCAGTCTTTGATGTGCTCAATAGGATGATCTTCGTGACCAGCATGTAGGTAACCGAGCAGGCATATTTAACTGCAGTTACAATGATCTTTTCGGTCACCTTTTTGTGTACGGTGACCGTGCTCGACATTCACTGCTGTTCTGGGGTTTCCTTCTTCTGAAAGTGAAATGTCATGTGGTTGTCGAGGGAAGACGGAGGTAATGTTACCGAAAAAAGTATCGAAATAGACTCAGGATAAGCTTCAAAACCCTTCCGAATGTTGGCAGTAATGCGCTTGCATGGTGGACCACAGTAGTACATAGCAAATTGTAGCATATATGTAATTTGTACTCATACAGCGATAGAGCAAAGTTTCCTTCTAGAATCCTGTCATGGTGGCAACCCCTCAGGTCGAGTTATCGAAAACCATTGTTTCTTTTCAAGGAACTTGCAAGTCCGAAGAGGCCGAAACGCTGGACACACAGAATCAATTGGGCCAGGAAGAAAAAGTGGGCATGGCAGCGAATGGGTTAGGTCTAACACTTTGTTCATTGTTCTTGGCTAGGTAGTTTTACCGATTTACCGATTGTTCAATTACGGTATGCTTACCTCCATGTGTTTGTGTCATTTATGATAAAATATCGAATAAGAAAGTAGATATGTAGTACAGAGTAACCATTTCAAGCCAATTTGTGTGCTTCATGTACAAAAGATCTTACTTTTATTTATATGACCCGAGTTCACATGTTAGGCAAATCACATTACTTATTCTACTCGGTTTGCTGCGTCTTATCCGTCATCCACAAAGATGTATTATCAACGGCTATTTGAGGATTGTTCATCTTCTTTATGAATGTCCTTGAATGATGGTCGAGTCGATTCACAATCCTGCGATAAGCATGGGTGTTCCTAAGTTTACACCATGGACAGTTTACCTGACTGGTGCTTTAAAAGGTTTTCTTAGCGACGTTTATTACTAATCTACCGATCCTTGGCTGATGGAAATGAGGTTGCCACGCCCGTGCAGGGTGAAAGCAGCGACCACGTTTCTATTGTTGAACAGAATCTTTATAAGCATTATGCTCCTGTGTACCTCACCAAAGATGTGTTTACCGTGAAAATTACTAGTAAATGCAACAAAGTAGTAACATCGTGTAATTCCTTTGATTGTCATTCTGAAAATTTCGATAGAATGTGATGCAATCTTATTAATCGAGTCGTCAACCATATGCGACTCTGATCCGACTCTTCGTTAGTGGAAGGCACGTAAAAAGGCTCTGAAGAATGTGATACTACCGAAACGGTAGCCACGGTTGTGTTGTATGTCTGTTATTGTATGGAAGTAAACGTATGCTGTTTAACAGTCTCGCGATTGCTATGAGAGAAAACTACGAATCTGATTAATTTCAAAGCATATTAGAACTCTCTCTTTAGATGATGAGACGATGTTTTGTGTCGGCAGCCACCAGCTGCCCAATTGGCACTAACGTTAACAAAGGAGAAAAACGAAGCAGCAGCAGACCCTTTGAAGAAATTCCTGGACCAACAGCGTTCACCAGTCTGTTTGACAAAAATCGACGAACACTGTTCAGAAGTAAAATCCCTTAATAGCTCAATAGTTCTAACCTAACTACAATAAATTTTATTTGAACATATGATGAATGTTAAGGTAAACGTCCGGTGTCCGATTATTTTGATTGGCTTGTTGATCTTCACAGCCGATACGGGCCGATAGTCAAGGTTAATCGAGGTTTAGGAAGAGGGTACATCGTACACATCTTTGATCCAGGTAAATATAGTGATTCTTGTTGGTGTACATTCAATTTTTTTCCCATCTTGGAAGAAGCCTAGTCAGAGTGTGGGAAAACCGCCAGATCTACAAGGTCTTCTTCGACTGTTTGTGGTAGCGAACTGAAAGCTCCCCAAGTGGGCTATTACGGCATCCCAAGAAAAGAAAAAGCTCTCCGAACCAGTAAAATAACTGCAACCGACAAACTATGGAAGGACTTGAGTTACTTACCATGAAGACGGACCGCTTAAATGCAATTCAATTCATATACACTGTCTATCTAGCAGAACTCTGAGTTGTTCGGTCTTGTTCCGAATTTATCATTGGCTGTCGTCTTCAACAAGAACTTTTGAGTGCGTTAGATCGAACTTTACCGGACGCCCAAACCAAGGTGCACCACATTTTCTAAAATTCCTTTCTTTGTGTCAACCGTACCATTTTTAACTTGTTATATCATTAACAAAGTACTCTGTTGAGTGTAAAGGCAAATATATGCTTAGAAACAGAATCTTATATAACCTCGAAGTGAAAGACATATCAGAAATGACAGCTTCTGTTCACTATGGATTTATCCAGAAGATTAAAATAATTTTTGATCAAACAAAAATATCAACCTGGACAGTAACATTGGCAGGTTAAGTAATCAACTGTAGTAGCGTATTATGGTGGATTATATAGAAACGAAATTTTCTAAGAATACTATGCGAAATCAACCGCGACTGTGCTGAGATTTCCGCAAAACTTGGTCCCCGGGCCAGATCGAACCACGATTTCCCTTTCCAGGGCTCGCGCATTGCACCATGCGCCACAGAGAACCTTACTCTGCGTTTCTCACGGCTAGTTTTCTATGTACCAGCGCCACGAGCAACCACCCGTCAACGAGATTGATATGGGAAGCCCACATCGGCATTGATCCCAGTTAAGCTGAGGCTGCAGTCAAAATCACAATGTTTACTTTTTTTTACTGCCTACTACAATTTTGCACGTGGTCAAAGTTTTGCGAATATCTTAGCATCGTCGTGGTTGATTTTTCATAATACTTTCTCGTGAAAATTGTAGTAGGCAGTAAATAAAAAGTAAACATTTCTAAGAATATTTTTCTTTTTAGGCTGGTTACCAGGCGAATGCATCTCTGTTTTCTTTCGCATTTGTGTAATATCTGAAAGCCTTTTGTCAATTTTATATTCCATTTATATTCCAAGTTCTCAGTTTTGGCGACCTTCTAATGACTTAGGGTGCTTAATTTTTTTTTTGTTTGATTAAGACCGATCGCATTTTTGTTGGCTCCTAAAAAGGGAAGCTGATTGAATTGAAGTGTGAGAAATTGCCCCACTATGCTCCCTCCAGCTGATTGCTACGGATGAGCAGCTATTCAAGCCCGTAGATTTTTCCTTAGCAAGCAAGTGTTCAGGAAGAAGAATGAAAATTAAACGAAAAGTCAAGCCAGTGGTGTACGTTTTTGTGCTCCCAGACATTACTACCACTATTTTTCCGACTATTAATGGAAGGCGACTTCGTTGTATGTAGTTGACTTATATATGTATATATATATATATAGCCCAACCCTTCAGATCGAGCCAATAACAATGTGCATGGCAGAGCAACTCTAACCATTGTGTCATATGCCGTCATCTTGTCATCGTCATATGCTTGTATATATATATATATATATACATGTAAATATATATATATACATATATATACCAAACCTTTCATCCCTTCGGGGTCGGCAAATTGGTGCCAGACCTGTATGAGAGGATAGCAGCACTGACTCGATACATTGGTAGTTCACTGCGAGTCTTTGCAAAGCCCAGATATGCATTCAATCACTTCCAACCTTGCTGAATGAAGTCGAATGCATGGCGCATCCTTCAGGGAATGATCGACGCCGAGAGCTTAATCCTTTCATTATATATATGCGAATGTATATATATACACATATATATGCATATATATGTATATATGCATACATGCATATGTACATATATATGTATATACATTAATGTGCTATGTTCCAGAGGATGCCCGGCAAGTGTTTGCTGCAGACGGCCGTCAGCCGTTCATCGTTCCTCTTCAAGAGACAACGCAGCGATATCGTGAAATGAAGGGCATGAATCCAGGACTCGGGAATTTGTAATGCTTTTATCTACTGATCATTTGGAAACCGGCCATAGTGGTAACACGAAACGTGCATATTGATTAATAGCGTTTTAGAAAGACGGTTTATCATTTACACACAGTAGTTTGTATTACAAGCGGAAATGTGTTTGTTTCATTTTTTTTATTTTTTTTACTTGATCCGTCTACTGTGTGGATCCCAGCATTTCTACCATTCAATTCGTTTCCTCGCATCCATTGTCCATGAAGAGTTTCCAATTTTACGTGTGGCTGAGGTTGGTGCTTGAGAATTTTCGCTCCATCATCAGTATCATAGAATGCTGGTCGAGCAATTCTCACTGGAGTCAGATAACTGGGCTTGAGCGTTTCCAACTGGATTGCAGAGATTGATTTTTTCCCGGATAAGTCGGGTACCAATTTCCCGACCCCGGAGAGATGAGAGGCTTTGTTGGCCCAAAGCGGAATCGTACTTTGTGTCAAATTAATAGTGCTTATAGAAATTACTTCAAAGAAACTATGTTCTACACTAGTTTATTTTCCTTCTTAATAACTTATTTCTGTCAAAGAAATGGTGATGAATGGTACAGACTTCGTTCGTCGGTTCAACAAGCAATGATGCGACCTCAAGCAGTGCATAAGTGAGTAACACTGTTTTAATATTTCAAGAAGATTTTCTTCGTATTTTTGTTGAGCAAACGCGAGGTGTTATTATTCTTTGTTCACGATTAAGCTGACGTTTCGGCGGATTTCGCCTTCCTCAGAGCCTGGAAAGGTCAAGCAATCTACTCGGCCAGACGCCTCCATAACCAAACAAAGAAACCCCAAACCAAGATTTCAATCACTTTGAACACAGCTTTGCACACTCACCGCTTCCTATGAGGTTTCCACTAATATCGCTAAAGAACATCAAACAGATCACATTAGGATAGGTAATGTGCAAGAAAATTCAAGGCTAACCGTATTAGGAGGCATAACTCTCCCTGACGGTGCGCGCTCGTTATTAGAATTGGGGCCGAGTTTCTCACCATCTGAACCCATTTCTAAGATAACCTTGCGTAGCGTCGCATGTGGTTTACATGAACTTCAAGATAGACCCCGCAAAAAAGCTAGAGATGAATCGCTAAATAGGTGCGAACAACACCAAGTGGGAGCCCTACCAATAGCACCATTTTCCCCGACGTTCTTTAGACAACAAGAGCCCAATAATGAAGTTGATGTTAAATTTCGGATGTTTGCGAATGAAACTCTCAAAGTCCTTAATCACTATCGCGCGAAAAGATACAGCTCAAACCTCACTCCAGTGCAAAGACGTGGTATGCGAGAGGTACGAGTGCTGATAAGGTTGAAAACCATAAAACTTTCCGTAAGTGATAAGGGTGGAGAGTTTGTCGTAATTCCTCATCAGTTAGATGTGGAGATAACGAAAAAGAATCTTGAAGATGCTTCGCTTTATCGCCCATCATCTGAGGAGGAATTCAAAAGTAAATACCGAAAACTAAACCACGAATGGGCCAAAATGGGAAGGGCTGCTGGTTTGAAACCATCAGTTATCTCTCAACTTAGGGTTGACTTACCAACATGCCCCGTCTTGTACTTACTTATAAAAACTCATAAGTTAGTATCCAGCGATGATCTTGCGTCTAACGATCCATCACTATTTAAGGTTAGACCTATCATTAGGTGCGTAGACGGGCCAACGGACAGGATAACATTGTTTTTAACCCTGATATTTAACCAGTTGCTGAAACACATTCCAACCCATCTTACGAATACTTAGATGTTTCTGGATCGTCTACGTACTGCGCAGCCCAACAGCGCGTGCGTGATGGAGTCCTTCGACGTTACCGCCCTTTATACAAACGTGTCGAATGACTCCGCAATGTAAGCCATATTCGAACTCCTTACACAACACGAAGGAGAAATAAACATGTATGGCTTCAGGATAGAGCACCTGATGGCACTCTTAAAAGAATGCTTGGGCTGCTCAATCTTCAGATGGTCTGGAAATTACTACGCTCAAGTAAGAGGGTTGGCAATGGGGCAACGACTGGCTCCAAGCCTTGCCATTGTATTTATGTCTAAGGTGGAAGCACCGGTGACTGATCTGGGGCCGCTACTCTGCTGTAGGTATGTAGACGACTGCTTTGTCCTTTGCTCAACACAAGAGGAAATGGACAAATGTTTCGAATTGTTAAACGCACAGTCAGAGTATATCAAGTTCACCCGAGAAAAGCCGAAAGAAAAATGGCTTCCATTTTTGAACGTACAAATTCACCTATCAGAAAATGGCTACATTACAAAATGGTACCGAAAGCCAAGTAGTAAAAACATCTTGGTTCATTACCTCTCCTCTCACCCCTCTCACACGAAAAGGGCGCTTATAAGAAACATGTTTCGAACGGCAACCAACGTGTGCACGGGAAGAGAGCAGAGAGAGAAGTTCCGGAACTTGGCACGCAAATAGCCATTTCTAATGGCTACGAAACTGTAGCTCAGGATAGGTGTAGACGAAATCGTAGGCCTCCAAACGACAACTCTAGCGATAGAAGGGTCCTGTTCATCCTACCCTTCATCTCAAATGATATAAGTACAGCTATAAAACGCTACTTAAGAAGGGCTGGCTTAGAGAATTCGGTAAGCGTAGTTGAAATACCACCGAGTAATCTTAAGTGCCAGCTAGTTNCAAATAGCCATTTCTAATGGCTACGAAACTGTAGCTCAGGATAGGTGTAGACGAAATCGTAGGCCTCCAAACGACAACTCTAGCGATAGAAGGGTCCTGTTCATCCTACCCTTCATCTCAAATGATATAAGTACAGCTATAAAACGCTACTTAAGAAGGGCTGGCTTAGAGAATTCGGTAAGCGTAGTTGAAATACCACCGAGTAATCTTAAGTGCCAGCTAGTTCGTAACCGCCTATATGACCGTCTATGTGCAACTCAAATTTGCAAAATTTGCCCCAGTGGTAGAGACGGTGATTGCATCAGCTCGGGTATAGTTTATCTGATCTCCTGTAAGACGTGCGGTGACGAATACATTGGCGAAACGGGTAGACCCCTCTGTGTCCACATGAAAGAACACCTAGCCGGCAAAAATAGACCAAATACCCCGCTAGCCACGCATAGGACCCAGAGACATAACGGGGACGACTTCGAAGTATGTGTCACGATCCTCGCACGCGAATCAAGAACACAAGCGCGAAAAACTCTCGAGGCACTCTGGATTAATTCCAGAAATCCGAAAATGAACCGCAGAGAAGAATGCCTCATTATTACGCGTGATATAGGGCAGTATATAAAACTGTTTTTCTGATGTGAGGGGCACATTATACTTCCATTATTTCTGTGCGGTTGGTCTCTACGTGACATGTTTAGTGGAAACCTCATAGGAAGCGGTGAGTGTGCAAAGCTGTGTTCAAAGTGATTGAAATCTTGGTTTGGGGTTTCTTTGTTTGGTTATGGAGGCGTCTGGCCGAGTAGATTGCTGTCAACTTGACCTTTCTAGGCTCTGAGGAAGGCGAAATCCGCCGAAACGTCAGCTTAATCGTGAACAAAGAATAATAACACCTCGCGTTTGCTCACCAAAAATACGAAGAAAATCACTTGATCAATGCCGAGGTTAATAGAAAGTCGGTCGTGGCAGTTATTTCAAGAAGAATTTTCATTAGTTTTGTGTGAGTATTTCCGAGTTAGGAACGAGCTTATCTTTTGAGCTAAGTTATTTGGTCCTTCATGCTGTTACCATGAGGTCATCTAGATATCTTCCATATACTAATGAAGTGGCCGACGCTCTAGTAATCCATATTCGAGAAAAAGCTGAGGAGAACAACGGTGAAGTGAACTTTCGAGAAATCGCTGGCAGGTATTAAATTAATTGTTCAACCCAATCATTACTTTATAACAAGATAATAGGTCACTATTTTTTATGTAATAGTAGTTCGTCGAATGTATTTCGAAATATAGCGACCGGTAGCGCAGAGGTAGTGACGCCGTTCATAATGAGCATAGTCTTGGTTCGAAACCACACCAGGCTCACCAAACCTCATCACTTTGGTGTCGGAGAATTGGTTCAAGATTCATCCAGGAAAAGTTCATTCCCTCTAATCCAAGTGGAAACGCTCTATCACAACTATCCTATTACTCGAGGAAGAATTGACTCGAGCACTCAACGAAATTCATGAAGACAAAGCCTTCAAGCCGCAGTGAAGGCCCACATGAAGTCCAACTACCTTTGTGGGACATGGATGCAAGAAAAGGAAAAGAATGCAAAGTTACCGGAGTAACTGCAATAGTTGTAAAGATAGGTTGTGTAGTGAAAATTACAAATTCTGCTAGTATAATCTAGATGTACAACATCAAGTTATTATATTGTTATATGATATTAATACCATCGAGAATCATATCATCTTTGGGATTTATTAGAGTACAATTGCACTTTGAAGTACAAAAACAGATGTGCCGGTGATGTACAACTATGCTAATAGATGGAAAGAAGAATTTGCGAGCAGCAAACGAAATATTGGGAGGTCACAGTGCTGAAATCAGACCAGTAACATGGACGTCGGTCGGTGGAAAAGAAATGGAAGATCTGCTGGGGAGCCCACGAGTTGGAAGGTGCCATCTAGGAAGCAAAGAGTCGAACTGGAGGACTTGTGTGTGTTAGATTGAATTTTCATTTTTTCTGAGGGACTACGGGCTACTGCTCGTCATCGGCTAGCTAGTGGTAACGAATCACTTGAGAATAGTAAGCCGCTCAGTAGCCTTGTTCATCGTATGATCACACCAATCAAGAAGAATATTCAGTTTTTCGGCGAATTTGCTAGCGCTATGAGATGAAGTACTGTTGAAAAACTGGATAGTGTCATGCATTGTACACAATGCTTTCGTAGTACTCGTTTATTACCACTAATGTCATCGTTTTTATTCTTTCTTCAATTATATTTGTTATCCATTTCACGAATTTTCCAGTTTAATCTCGTTTAGTGATGATGTGAATCTTTCAGATGGGCGCTAGAAGCAGCCGCTCTGACCGCATTCGAGAAACGGATCGGTTCATTGACTGATCGAATCGAATGGGCTGACAAGCTTATCGAACTGAACAGACGGATTTTCCAACTGTCTGCCGAGTGAGATGAAGACGTGTATTCATAAATAGTGCACTTCTACCATCCGACGACGTCACTGTACATTTCACAATATTCAGGCTAAAATTTGCATTTCCCATCTATCGTTATTTTCCTACGCCAAAATGGAAGAAAATGGTCGAAATGGAGGATAGTTTTTACAAGTGCGCATTAGTTTTGTTGATTAGATATCTTCAATATACCAGTGGTCTTTCAGTGAAGCAAATTTATTGATAGATGAAGCTGTCAATAAACTACGTGGATCGACACAATTGGAAGAGGAAATGAAATTCGCAAGTCTTCTAATCAATCGAAAGGAGTTGAATGTTAAAGATGTGAAAATAATCTTGTTGTCAATGTTTTCAGATGGTTTAAGTACAGTGAGTTCATTAGAAGTTATTCAGTTAATCGTGATATTCAGATGGTTCCTGGAAAAAAGGAAACACATGGGGCAAAAACTGGGCTTTGAGCTCGAGTAGGTAGAGCGTCATTTGCGGGCTCTTGCAAGCGCTTGTTTTTCACATAAATCGCCTGTCTTCCTCTTCATCACGTAATGACTCGAGCGAAGAGCGGCAAAGTCTATCCTTGTTCTTTTCGTATGCAAAGGTAAGACAATGGGTTCTGAGTGCTTTGGAAATTCGAGGAGTATTGTACTTTTACTGTAGTCTTTGCAAAAATTCCAACCTTTGAGCCAGTGATCCTGCTGCTGTACGCTTGACATCTCGTGAAATCCAGTCTCTAACGGGTCTTATCCATCAGTTGTCGTCATAATTCGTTCTTTTTTCTATGCTTGTTTTGTTTTACATAACTATTTCGATTCATTCCATCGGTGAAATCTTGAGATACATATCTGTTCATCTCTGTTCGTTGTCGAAGTCGGAACTCCTTGTCATTTGGTTGATAGAAGATACTCCTAAAATCACTTCTTTGATAGAGGTCATAGTGGCGCTCATTAATTTTTCAAGCCGCTTGCGGTAGCGTTCGAGTTTCTGGAGACATGAACTAGGACAAAAAGAGTCCCAGAGTTGATGCAATGTTCATCTAGTTATTCTCTTCTTCTCATTTTTTTCTTAACATTCTTGTAAGCGCTTTCTCCTGCTGGGCTAAGTTATCATTTGATTGCAAGCTATTGACAAATCTACTTTGTATTACTTCTGGATATACGCAAACATACCTATGCACATATTCAGAGCCTGTTTACGGAAATGCATAAGGTCTGTTAAATCGAGCAAAAACAAGGAGTCCATTCCCTGGATTTACCTGCATTTAAAGGAAGCACAGAGACGGTTCTTGTCTACGTTTGTTTCGCTTTCTCTATCTGGATAGGTGGTACACACCATTAGATGTGTTTAAATTGTTGGGCATACACGAGGCTGATAAAATAGCTTTATTCGGTTAACGTTTCGACATCTCTGTCTTCATTAGAGCCGATGATCCGAGTCGACGCTCCACAGCTGTTCGTCTTCTCGATGTGGTGTCTTCGTGTTGCATCGAACCGGATCTTCCTCAATTGAGCATCTCGAATGAGCTATAGTCCTCCTGCAATGTTCTTTTTTACAGGACGGTTGTTGTTGATATGACTATTCGTTGATAAAAATTTGTTCTTGAATGAACCTTGCAGCAATCGGCATTGTGCTAGGTAGAACATAGCGAATACCAAAACAAAAATTTTCAAACCGCCCGTGAGACACCCTTACCACTAGCCCGGTCTGAATCCTTCAGTGGTGGAGTTCCGCGATTTTATTCTTTACTGGCATTGAATTACAAACGTTACGAAATATTTGTTTCCGAAATATTTCAAGAGCAACGTGATGAAATACGAGTTTTAAAATATATTTTGACGTTTTAACGGTTCAGAAGACTTATTTCCTTCAACTTTGTATCAGGAAAACTTTAGTTCTATGATGTTCAGACAGCTCCAATGCTCATCTACAATCTGTTTAATATAGCACGTCATCCGGACATTCAGGATGAACTTCGTAACGAAGTGAATTCTGTTGTTGGCCGTTCAGAAGGTTTGTACCGACGGATTCATCGAAATTATTTATGACACATCTGTTCGTACTACTAGTTGCAAATGCTTCATTGTTTTTCCTCATTTTGTGGTGTTATCTTACTTCAAGCGTTTAGAGATCGATCCCACCATATTGGCTAAGTTACCGTACCTGCGTGCTTGTATTAAGGAAACGTTCCGATTATTTCCTATCGGGACCGAAATCTCAAGAATTCTTCAGAAAGATTTGATCCTCAGTGGTTACCGAGTTCCGGCGGGTACAGCTGTCGACATCAACACCAATATATTGATGAAGTGAGTTAAGTTGAACATATCTGCTCACTTATTTTTACTATGTATTCAAATCTGCCAATAGCTGTCAATGATAATATGCACATTATCCTTTCCTCTCTCGCAGTCTTGTAGTTCTTAAAACGATTTCCATTGCCTGCGGTGGAGAACGAACGCGCTATTGTACTTTCTGGGGAGTAAGGCGCTCATCACCACACCATCCGAGTCCTTCGTTTTGCCTGTCTCTTAGCTAGTTCTATCGATCTTTTGTCATCAGCAATCACCCTTCAGCGAGATTGATCTAGGGAGCCCAAATCGGCAACGAAGGCAGTTAAGCTGATGCTTCGTCACTAGTTTTCTCATAGTTGTACTGATAAAAGCCAACCAGTGTATACGCGAGGTTCTCCGACAATTTATTTCCAGCTTTTCTTCTATAATCGTAAGGTGGCTATGACAGAGTTCTTCCAAGTCGTAATCACTAGAAGTCACTAGCTTTTTTGGGAGAAAAGTGATTAGACGTTTTGCAACAAGGTTCCTGCTTGAGTCTTCTGATTATGGCTTCTATTTATAGCTTCGATTCTGGGTGGAGACTTCAAAATTTCTGGCGTATTCGCATTTGAGTCGTAAACTTGGTCATACATCGCTGTTGGTCACTTAATAAATGTCTTTGCCACAGTAATACCTGTAGAAGTTCCATATAGAGCGTAAAGCTATTCTACTTGTCTTGAATAGTACAAAGTGCTAAATAGGTGTTTGTCTAAATAAAGGAAACTTCGGGTTGTAAGCAACCTATAAGCTTGTTTTCAGGACCACATCATTATTCAAGGAACCACATAGCTTTAATCCAAAGCGATGGTTGCGAACAGCTGATCGAGAAGACTTCCATCCATTCGCATTCCTACCGTTTGGTTTTGGTCCAAGAATGTGCGCTGGTAGGAGCAGTTCTTGTTTTTGCTTGGTGATGTGACTATTTAGATTCTTTCATGAACATCTGAATTTTTGTGCACAACATTGAAAGGAAGAAAATGAAGAACATATAAATTTTAGGTCGGCGTTTCGCTGAGCAAGACCTCCAAGTAGCGTTATGTCGCCTCGTGCAACATTTCCGAGTTTCACACCATCATGCTCCAATCGGGCAAATATACGAGACCCTATTGCTGCCGAAAGGATGCTGCGATTTCCGTTTCGAAACACTTTAGCGTTATGGCTTCCCGTTTGCTATCAGCCCGCCCATCATCAAGTTTCGTAGTGAGGTGTTGGCAGCAATACTCCAGTCAGATAGATTATTTTGCTAATTCTGGTCTCTTTTCAAATAAAAAGATTTAAAGCACTTTGACTCTCTCTTAATAACTTCAAAGACCGATTCTTCTATAAACCTCGGCATAGGTAGCTGATATTGAAATGATCTTGCAAACTGATCTTCATTAGCTGATGCGAGGTTGGTATAGGTCTTCGTTGTCGTTGTCGTTGTTGTTGTCGCTGCTGTTGGTGTTGTTGGTCGATGGCTGACGTTTCGGCAATTTCGCCTTCCTCAGGGCCTGGACGTATTTTATACAAGAATACTTTAATTATTCGGTGGAAAATTCAGTTTTTGAAGCTTGATGATAATGACTTTTTTCTGATGCGATGGGCACATTACACTTCCATGTGAACTCTGTTCGGTTGGTCTCCACTTTTAGTGGAAGACTCATAGAAAGCAGTGAGCGTGCGATGAAGCTATTCTGTGTTCAATGTGCTTGAAATCTTGGTTCAGCATTTTCTGTGTTGGGTTATGGAAGCGTTTGGCTGAGTGGATTGCGGTCAACTTGACCTATCCAGACTCTGAGGAAAGCGAACTCCGCCGAAACGTCGGCTTGCTCTGAAATAAGGAATAAAATAACACCTCGCATTTGCTCAACAGGAATATGAAAAATTGCCAAGATCAATGCCAAGGTTAATAGAAAATCGGTCGTGGGAATAAAGGGTAAATATTGATAGGCAAAAAACCCTTTGGGTTAAGAACATTATGGACGATATAGAGAAGGCTTTGAATTATCCATTCAGGGTTATTAAATTTCTACTATATACCACATTTTGCTATAGTTCACCTGCCAAACCCACTGCTGTTAGCACATTGGAGTCTCTTCTATCTTGATATGCCTTGTATGCGATCATTCCACGCCTTATCCACGATCCATCGTGAGAGATGAGGAAATTCAGTTACTGGCTGAAACCTGAGCTTTGTATGCAGTTCGTTAAAGAGATCCTGGTTTACTTATAACTTACGGTATTTTCGGCAGCTGGAAGGCTTACGAAGTTGGTAATTTCAAGTACTTGTAGCAGAGAGTTGCTCTATCACTATAGAAGGAAGAAGTAAATTTTCCAAAGTGTAGTTTGCATTTTGAGTTTGCTTAAAACTGGAACTTCTTAAAAAGATCAGATTTCTATCCCGTTCAAGCAAGAGAAATTGTACCTTCTAGGAGAAATTTAGTTTCGAATTTACCTTTTGCCATGAGTTTGTTTGTTGAAATGAGTAATTGCCTTTGGTACGTATGCCAGTTACCATCACTCAGTAGGTTCAAATATTTACGATCTCAATGATTCGGTGGAATTTTCTAAAATTTCAATGGAAGATATCAGGCATGTAGTCCTATCACTCTTTACTCTATAAGATGTAGGTGTATGATTTCGTGTGTTGTGTGTGCATGTGTGTATGCGCATTTGTGTCGTTGTGAGTGTGTATATGTACATACACATATATTTTCATGTCTATATGTGCATATGTGTCTGTGTATTTGTGTTTGTGTGTATGTACGTATGTGTGTACTCTGTGTAGGTGTGATTCGCCTGTATGTGTATGTGTGTATGTGTCCTCGTTGGTGGGTGAATGTATGTTTGTATATCTATGTGTGTATATGTATGTGTGGATGTGAAGTCGTGTGTATGTGCCTATGTATATATATATGTTTGTACATGCATATGTGTTCGTACATTTGTGTTTGTATGCATATGTACCTGTGTGGTGTGTATGTATGCATATGTATGTGTGTTCATGCGTTGGTATGAGCATGTATGTGTATATGTAAGCGTGTATATGTATCTGTGGAAGTGTAGCTGTGTGTATGTATATGTGATTGTGTGTGTGTATCTGTGTATCTGTGTTTGGTGTTCGTATGTGTGATCTGTGTGTTTCGGTGTGTTTCTGTTCCTTTCTGTGTGCGTATTCCTGTGAATACGTGTGCAATGTATGTGATTCATTTGTGCATTCATGCAATGTATATACGTATGTGGTGTATGTATGCCTATAATATATGTATGTTGGCCACATATGTATTAATGCAGTGTATATGCTTATGGAAGTGCGCATGTGGCGCAGTGGTCGAAGGCGCCCTGCAACACACACGTTGAATCGATCCCCGTGCCCATGACCCACCTAGTTGTCATCATTACAGAAGTCCCATTCCATCAGCAAATCACACTTAAATAAATGCTTGGATTTGGGGAAATAACGTGTAAATGATGTGTGACTTGCACATACAGATTAAAGTCTCTGCATCGTCCACTGGTTGGGTGGTCGACCTAGTCGGTCGAGGAGTTGACTCCTCAGAACCTCCGTATTAGTTCTGTCCGTAGTCTCAGAAGTCTCCGTATCAGTGGTGCCCGTATCCTTGGAAGCTGTAAGATTTAGTATAGTAATAAGTGCTTACAGAATCATCTGACATAATGCTGTTATTGATTTCAACATTACCGATTCGACAAAGCAAAACGGTCTTTGTTTCATAAACTCTGTTACAAGTAATTATAGGAACGATGTTGTGCGTAGAGACCAATAACGTCCCGGCATTTTTCGGAGAACAAAATCCAAACGCTATTAGCTAGCGGTGTTGTAGAAGAGGCACCACAGTTTCGTATTGCTGCTTTCCCACCTGTAATAAGTGTGACGTTTATCGCTTCCCATTTTGATTTCAACTTGCGGAAAGTGACATCTATGGGCAGCTACGCCACTCGGGTAGGAATCAAGCACTACTTCAATTGTTGAATCAGCAGGTGCCTTAAAGAATATTTGCTTAAATGTTATTTGTGATACCTAAGTTAATGAAGATTTGCATGCCTTAATCCAATAGTGGCACATCATAAATTCGTTTTTTGCATAACGTGCACCTCTCTCACCCACGGTGTCCTTAAGCGTTTGAAAGGAGGTGGTTTTTGTTAGTGTCCTACCGCACCCACTTGGCTACTTATTACGTTTACGTGGATTCTAACCCAATGATTTGACAATTTTTAAACACTTTACTCTTTAACCACACAATCTTCCTCCATAGCCACTAGGGCAAGTACATTTAGAACAGTCTCTTGGATGGGGAAATCCACCATTCTTGCACTTTGCTGAAGACCCACTCTTACATCTGTCTGAAACAATTCAGTTCCAATGAAAAATGAAGACAATAAAGAGAATCAAAAGTACATCTCTCAATACTCTGACCGAGACATTTGTATTGTAAGTTTATCATAAGTTTCTCATAGAACGAAATCATGTGCGATCCAAGAGTTTGCGTTTACTTTGGATCGGGCAGTATCACTGCAGGTTGACCGTTCCGTGAGAGGCTGCATTTAAATGTTTATCAATTGTGATTTTGCATAAAACCTTTGAGTGCTTGACAAACCCTGTTGCTCCATAGTGCATAATAGTTCCGTAGTCGTACGTCAGGTTATAGTTGTAGTTCTTGTGCTCAGTTTGCTTTGCTAATTGAGCTACCCATTCAGGCTGAAACGGAATTAATTCGTCTATGCAGTTCTAGACTGTTTTAAAATCACCTTGAAGTTGTGCCAGTCAGTGGAGATGAAATCATCACGATCGTACCTCGATTGCGTGTGGAGGAAGCCCGAGGCGTGGCCGATTTCGTGTATGGCAAGTCCAACCTGCACGACATCATTGAAATGTAATATAGTCTAAGTTGCTAGCTCATTTCATAAAAATTTCACGAGATCAATGACAATGTCAAGAAAGCCGCATATCCATATGCAATTTTTCCCTAGGGAGAGATACTGCACTCCCCCAATTCTTCCAATACTCGAAAAACATCCAGCACCCATATGGACAACGACCCTATCCTGAGCTTAGAATAAAATCTTAAGAAACTTTTCAAAATTTTAGATCTGTAGGAAGCTGAATTTTGATTTCGTCATACCTCCACTGCCTTCTCTGAAATCAATACATGTCTCCGCCACCCAGATTAGGGCCGCTTTTCTGAACACCCTCATCGACTGTAAGTGGATATGGAATTAATTGCGCTCACCTTTTCCTATATTCATATTAAAAAAAAAGAAAAAGATATTGTTCCTCGTTGCTTAAATTCTTAAGGATCCGTCATTCAATCGAAGAATTACCGAGCTTTTTAACGAACATTTGTTTTGAATAATGACGTGCATCATACTGTTGTATCAAGTTATTGCTTTTACCATCGCAAATAAGCTTGATAGCAATTTGCCGACTATGGATGGCTTGGTTTGACCGGAGCGCAGTAGCGAACCAAAAACCGTATTTGTCGCAGGACAACTCTAAACAGAACTCACAAAACGCTTCTTCACAGTTACGCTATGACACCGAAATCTGCTTGGTGGCTGCACGAGAACACACACCTAATTCCAGGTTCAATGCGGCACATATAGATATTATACCGGTCACAATTTCGCCTCTCCCATTAAATACCCTCGTCCATTCCACTGCGATTTTCTCTCTGATTTGGACTTTTTATGTCTTTTCAAAGTTATACATAAGTTACCTTTATCGTCTAAATCCTCTATGTCCTTCTGTTCACCTTCCCATATTTTTGGGGCTTATCCACGTCTCAAGTGGTCGAAAAACAACTCGTCCACTGATCCACTCAAAGTGCTGTCAGTTTTCTACGAATTACTGTAAAGTGTGCAAAGTATATTACAGTGCTTGCTTTATAATTTTTGTATTCTCCAGTCCCATTCGGCAAAAAATTCATTTTAACGACTGAGACTGGGGAAATTAGGAATGCCTGTCAAAAAAATGAAGCTTACATGGCACTCAATCGCAGTTTTTCGATAACTCCAGATAATTTATCGATGACTAGATCAGTTAAAGAGTTGGGACCTCAACAATACCGCTACATTAACGAATAGTTCAGAAGATCAACTAACAAAAACCTACTGCTTCATTAGGTCTTCCTTTACCTTTCACATACAAAAAGCGAAGTGATGAAAAATGCACAGGAAGTGAGCAGACAGAAGGGTCATTGAAACTGGCACGCCAAATAGCCATTTCGCATGGATACGAAACTGCTGCTACTATTGGATAGGTTCGCTGGAAGAACTACGTTCACAAACGATAATTCATATGAGGGCAATGTCTCGTTTACTGAAATGCCACCTTCAAGACGCCAACTAGTTCGTAACCGCCTATACGACCGTCTATGTGCAACGCAAAATTGCATAGTTTGCCCCAATGGCAGAGACGGTGACTGCATGAGTTCGGGTACAGTGTATCTGATCTCGCGAGGTGTTATTATTCTTTATTCACGAATAAGCTGACGTTTCCGCGAATTTTGCCTTCCTCAGAGCCTAGAAAGGTTAAGTTGACAGCAATCTACTCGGCCAGACACCTCCATAACCAAACAAAGAAACTCTAAACCAAGATTTCAATCACGTTGAACACAGCTTTGCACACTCACCGCTTTCTATGAGGTTTCCACTAAGCACTAATATATTTCTATGAGGTTTCCACTAAGGATTTCTGTGCGGTTGGTCTCTAAGTGACATACTTAGTAGAAACCTCGGTGAGTGTGCAAAACTGTGTTCAATGTGATTGAAATCTTGGTTTGGAGTTTCTTTGTTTGGTTATGGAAGCGTCTGGCCTAGTAGATTGCTATCAACTTGACCTTTCCAAGCTCTGAGGAAGGCGAAATCCGCCGAAACGTCAGCCTATTCGTGAATAAAGAGTAATAACACCTCGCGTTTGCTCAACAAAAATACGAAGAAATACCAAGATATGTTATACCTTTCTATTTTCTGCCTATTATAATTTCGCGGCAGGGTACTAAGCGAAATACAACCACAACGTTGCTGAGATATTTGCAAAACTCTGGACCGCAGGTGTCTATGGTGAGGAACGAACGCGTTATTGTCCTTTCCGGGGAGTAACGCGTTCACCATCACACCATGCGGGTCCTTTGTTTCGCCTGTCTCTCAGCTATTTCTATCGATCTTTAGCTGAGAGAGACAGGCGAAACAAAGGATCCGCATGGTGTGGTGTTGAACGCGTTACTCCCCGGAAAGGGCAATAACGCGTTCGTTCCCCACCATAGACACATCCGGTCCAGCGTTTTGCAAATATCTCAGCAACGTTGTGGTCATAAGTTAGTATCCAGGGATGATTTTGCGTCTACCGATCCATCATTGTTTAAGGTTAGACCTATCATTAGGTGCGTAGACGGGTCAACGGATAGGATAACATGGCGTTTAACCCTAATATTTAACCAGTTGTTGAAACACATTCCAGCCCATCTTACGAATACTCAGATGTTTCTGGATCGTCTACATACTGCTCAGCCCAGCAGCGCGTACCTGATGGAGTCCTTCGACGTTACTGCCCTTTATACAAACGTGTCGAATCTCTTTTAGTATTATATATAGCACTGATAAAATATCATGAATAAAGGTTCGAAATAAGATATATTAAGTGGAAACACGTCCATAAGCGCCTAATGTTTTTGCAAGTGGTAATTATGGTGAAGTCGAATAAACACCTCTATCTCAGTCTTCCTCAAAATTGTTGGTTTCATGCATGGATTAGAAACTCCATGAGAGAAAACTGATTTTAAGCATCGTAGCATGTGTATAAAGATTAGGGAGCTAAGAGAACTAGCTGAGAGACCGACGAAACGAAGGACCCGCATGGTGCTGTGGCGAATGCGTTAGCCCTCGGAAAGGGGAATAGCGCGTTTCTTCCTCACCGCAGATATCTGCCGCCCGCAGATTTGCGGTTATCTGAGCATCATTGTGGTTGTATAAAGATTGTTGATCGCATAGAGGATACGTGATATTTAAATAATCGAACTTCATTGCTCAAGTATTATGGCAGAGAAGAATCCCTATCTTCTACTAAGGCAACCGTACCTGTACTGGGTACAGTCCTTGCCACACAAAACTTTTCCTGCTGAAATACCAACCGGCCTCCGAAAAGAGGTCTTTTGTCAATAAATGACTTTAGGAAATACCATTCCAAGGATGATGGTTGCTACTACAGTCGTGTGGTTGGTTAAGCTACCCGTCAAAATGGGTCATCGGAAGGAATAAGATCTATCTAGAGGTCATCGCGGTCACACTGGCAAACCACAATTGAATTCTATCGAGCTAACTTCGTAGTGTAGTTGTTAGGTCAGAAACAGGTCGATTAAAAACTAAAACGTACCTGTGTTCGCGAAGTTTTAAGAAAATCCATTTGACCATATAGAAAAAAAATATCTACTGTTACGAAACGCTTGTCGCTTTTTGCGTTTGCCTCCGTTTCCTCCAACGTCTTCTATGACCTCCTCGGCTTGTTTTCTAAAACTTGCAGCAGAACATAAAAAAGCGGAATTTCACAAGCGAAAACCCTTGGGAGAATTAGCCGGGTAAGTAGTATGTCCCCTCGAAACAACGCTCTGTCGACTTTGGTATCTCCATTGATTTTTTCGATTGTTCCTCTAATTTGTGGAAGTGATCGTTTTCGATTTTCACATAGTTCTAAAACTCAAATCTACTCATTGGTTGTTCCTGAAAAGGCAATATATTCGCCTTTAACTGTTCTTGTAATTCAGCGTTCCGCTCCGGAGATAGAGCTAGATTTGTTTGATTTCTGGCTCCATTTTGCGCCGTTGCTCCACAAGCCACTTTGTTTCATCGGCAAAGGGTTCCTACGGAAAGAGGACCATAGAAAGTCAAGACAATAGCTTTTTGTTATACTTTACAGATAAGTTTCTTGAATATTTTCACGTCTTTAAACAACTGATATCCTTCATCCAGTTTTTTTTTTGAAGCTCTCATCGCTGGTCGGTGGTTGATTTGTCAACTCATGACTGTCCAACAGGTCCGCTCTAATGCGGAAGGCCAGAAATAAGAACAGTACAACGTTTATTCCAAAATATGTTATGGTGAAACGGAGCACTGAAAACCAGAATGAAGAGTGGAATGATTGTATCCAGAGCTTTGCCTTCAATATGAATGCTTTTGTGCGATTACCGTTCACGTAGCTGACAAAATATACAGGTTTTCCAAAGAATGTCATTAGAATAAATATCGCTCTTTGTTTCTCTATTCTTTTTAGGACTTGGTGGATAAATATTTAAATGAACTTTGAAATTCGGTGAAAAAAACGATTCTGCTTTTTGTCATTTCAGTGCTTC